GCAGTGGGCCTCTCACCACGTAATGCAGCTCCAATCACACAAGATTGCCATTTGCGCTCAAAGTATAAAAGTGCGCTAAGATGGAAAGACAGTTGATCAAAACAAGCACTTCACAAACATCAGTGATGAGTTTGCGATTTTTAATGTACACTCCGTTTCAACGGATGCATAGCTCAATGCCGGACTGTGTAAGCGCAGCGAGCGCGAACGATTCTATTTAAAAAAATAAAAAAAACACGCAACGAAAAGAAGACGTGGAAAGTATGCTTCTGTCACGCGATATCAGCTATCCATGAACCTAATTCCAAAAAAATAAGTTAGTTTTTACCAAAAGAAATAAGAAGTGAAACACCTACAGTCAGAGTCATCTTTGTGACATCAAACTGAACGTTTCGAGCATCAAAAGACGTGAATGATTTCTTCAACCAGTCTTTCAGAATATCCATAACCTAGAACAAACGTCCTTATCACGGTGAACAAGATAAAAGAATCAGATTAAATCTGGCACACCAGCATTTGCAGGACTGAGCATCCCAAAAAGCAATTACAAAATTAGTCGACAGCTCACCGACTGCCTGTGCGAGGATGTATTTTCTGCACAGTCCTCCAGCAGCTTTTTGTCGCTAATGGCACTGTTTTTTCTGACAGATGCTTCTGACCAAGAGAACTGAACGACCACCACGACTGTTATAAATTATTACAATGACTCCCAATTCATGCCCAAAAAATTCAGCACTTTAGATACTTCGGTTGCAAATTTCACGTGTTCGCACGTGAATAGAAACATGAATGCTGCCTTCGCGTGCGCTTGCTCAAAAGAGGTCCCGGGTCACGCCTTGAGAATTTCAACGCTCTAGCTATTTTGGTCGCGAAGTCACGTCAAGTTTCACGTGGATGCACGTAAGACGTATGTGAGACATGAAACAGAAGTGGAAGTCGCTCTAACGTCTATCTGGTCAAACGCCACCGTCGGTTATGCTCAGAAAGTTTCAGTTCTCTGGCTGCTTCATTTCTGAACCTCACAGACACGAAGACTGATTTCATCCCTATACATCC